TTCTTTGTGAAGTTTCCGAGCAGCTTTCTCTCAAACCAACTTTACCTTTTGTTTTTTCCCATCTATTTCATATGCTCATTCAAAGAATTCCCTAATAATCAGCAGTGCCGTCTCCACTTCACTGAAAGTACTCTAATCAACTGGTCTCATGACCTCTTCATGGCCAAGTCTCAGGGCCTGTACTCCATTCTCATTATTCTTTCTCTCTCTGTTGCCTATGACACTGTTGAACTCGTGTTGGTCCCAGGATATTACAGAGACAAGGTGGGCGAGGTAATATCTTTTACAAGAGCAACTTCTGTTTTACCTCACCCACATTGTTTCTACGGCATTGTTGGTTATAATTCTTGTAAAACTTAACATGATTTACACTGAGCTTATCTTTCCTTCCAAACCATCCCCGCTCCCATTCTCTGTCGTTGTTGACAATACCCCATCCTCTCTCCAGACTCATAACCTGGTGTTCATTCTTGACTCTTACCTCTCCCTTGCCCCACACATTTAGGCTGAGTCCAAATGCTGCCATTTCTCTCTCTGTAACATATCTAGAGTCTGACCTTTTCTTTCTTTCCAGTCAGCTAAAACTTTCATTCAGATCCTATCATCTCCTGCCTTCTCCTCTCTGTCCTACCCTAAATACACACATCACTCCTTCAATTGATTCAAAATGCAGCTGCTGAGATAGTTATGACCACATAAAAGCCCCTCTTTCCATCCTTATTTTCCTCTGCATCAAACTTTCATTTCAAAGTTGCATTTCAAACTTCTTGTCCTCACCTTTAAGACTCTTCACCACTCGATCTACACTAATCTGCTCATCTTTTATCACATTAACTGCCATCATTTGATCAGCGTTTTCAACCTTCTCCTGTACACATCTATATGCTGTCCCTTATACATGGAATATCCTCCCTGAATTAATCCATATGGCCAGTTCCCTCTCCACCTTCAAATTCCTCCCCAAGACCTATTTCTACTGTGATGTCTACCGGGAAGCAGCCAAACCAATGAGGCTAGCTGGTGTGGTGGTTGGAGACAGCTCATTTCATTAAAACTTTTCAATGTGAAACCATTATGTTATGCAATAGCTAACCTGTGTAACCAGATGATCTTGTCCTCTTCCCCAACCCTCACTTCTATTTATTTATCACATCTCATTTCAAACTAGATTGAAAGCTGTATAAGCAGGGATCATTTCTGCATCCGTGTTTGTGCAGCACAGTGAGGCTTTTTAGTGCTACCACAATACAGACAGCAGCATAATACTTACAGGACAAGATGCACAACTGGCAGACCAAGTGGTGCACTCTTCAGCCCGTTATACTTTAGCCTGCAGTTTTCCTGGGCACTGTTTCTTTGCGAGCATGCTAAAGATCGTACTTAAAAGCTCTTAACTTAGATAGTTTGCAAGCTAGCTATAAATCTCACCACCATACACATTTTAAAAGGATAACTCCTCCACACCACAGGATGGCTGGCCCTTTAGGAGGAATTGGGCCCAGACCCACTTGTGACTAATCAGCTGCCTCCCAGCTGGAGTGGGTGATCGTCAAACTATCACCTGATCCCTGGCCTCACAGCTTCAGCTGGTAGGCAGCTGATTAGTCAGAGGTGGGGCTGGGCCCAACTCCCCTTAAAGGGTCAGCCACACTAAACATATTTATATTATTTGCCACAATAATAAGATGCCAATAAATTGTAAATGCACTAGTGGTGTGAAAAATTCCTCTCCTCACAGAGCACTCAAACAGTTTAGACCATTAAGAGGCCTACTCTTAATACCATCCAAGGAATTATTTTAGCATGGCAGACATTGTGGGCCACACCTGAAAATTAACGAGGGCTTTGTAATTCTTATAGCTAGTGTCAAATCAGACAAGGAGATGGGCTCTCCCAAGAACCACTGCTAGCAGAGTGAGAGTGTATCATTTCACAATTCATCACACAGGATCTGGAGGTGTTTTTTGTGTGAGGGGGAGGAATAACATTCTGTGACAGGCTGACCTTTCCTCCAGATAGGTCAGTATGCAGCATCTGTGACACTGCAGGGCTTGTCTGGTGCAGAAGGCTGTGCATATTTTTAGTTGGATCTTGCCTTACAAATAACATTAACCTGTATTTAAAAATCTTTATTTAAAATGTGACTTGGGGTATAAATGTTTCAAGTTCACAGTGATGTTATCAGAGATGAATCACAGCAAAAGTTGGAGTTGTACTATGCCATTAATTGTGAGGTAATTCAAAGTCAAATAAGTTTTCTCTCTCATCCCTTAAAGAAGACACTTTTTTGCATGATTGAAAATACTGTTTCTTAACTGAACCAGACTGCAATAAAAGAAGCTTGCATACTTGTGCAGTATATGGAACAGAGCAACAACAACAAAAGTGGCTTAACTGAAAAGTGAGAAAGTACAAAACTGCAGTGGCTATCTGAGGGTGGGTAGAATCACATTACAAAAACGAGTAATTCTCCACCCAAGCACTACTAGTGAAGGACTTCACTGGTTTCCTAAACATACTCCAACAGCCTTCCTGCCTCCACTTTGTAAAGCCAAGCAATGATGTCAACAGTCCACCTGTGAGAGTGATGCAGCCCCTAGGTCAGGGTCACAGGGAACTGTGATAAAAGCCATGCAATGTTAATTACATACACCTCTTGTTTTACTGCTGATTTCCTCTGATAAGGCTCAGTTCATTTTTCCTGGAAAGACTTCCATGCTGAAAGGGAAACCGAGCCAACCATAACACAAAGCTAACACTGCTTACAGAATGTGAAGACAACATACCATGTTTGTGTTACACAAGAAGCTATATGTCCCATTTCAATGCTAGGTTAAATATGAATTGCATTAATTTACACATTCTAGTAATACAAGGTTAAATCACATGTTTGTTATTGCAAATAATTATTGCTGAAAGAGAATTTATTACCTATTTTCTTGAAAATACTCTTTCAGGTTAAGTTTGTTCTTATAATAGAGAGCTTTGAGCCATGCCAATTAAAGCAGAGTTATAATAAGCTGTTTTCTGTACTAAAGCAATTAACAAAAACAACTGAACAGCTCTTCCATGTTGAAGTGAAGGGAATACCTACAGGTGAAAACCATACTTTAAAACTACAGTGTGATGTCCGACACTTAATTAGTATTAGAATTATCATTGCAGTTTCAATGAATGTGCTGTGCTATATCATGTACTGTGGAATTAAGAGACTTCTGAACACCTTAAGGGTCTCTGCAAATTAAATATTAGGATTCTTGTCCTTTCCCTAACTGAACCAACAACCAACAAAATAATTTTTAAAACACTGCGTTTCTTCTTCATAATCTAATCCAACCTGATCTTAAAATGGGATGTTTACCCACATGCTATCTATTTTAAGGATAGTACCATAGTATCGGATCACTTGTTACTTTGATGATCAAGGTAAAAACCTCCAGCATTCATCCCCTTCTAATTTTTTTTTGGCTAACCAAATATTTTCAGGTGGCTTCCTTACATATTTAGACTAAGTGGCTATGGAATATTGAGCTGTGCAAGAAAGAGTAATGCCTGCAAATCCTAGGGCTCAATGAAACATGCAAATTTGCTGACAGCATAGCACTTCCAGAGCATGGAACATCTGGACAGGGGTGAAAAAGAAAAATGCACAGAACTATCACTACAGTTTGTTTAATGACAATCATAACCTTTAATTCTGTAATGTCAATGATAACTCTATATGAGTGATCCTTCTAGAAATCTGATTACAGAGCTCCAAAATGCTACTAAAACCAGGAACTTCATAACAGGATCTGTATTTTGAAATATACATTTATTTTCATTTAATTACATTTAGTTTGCATATGACTACAAAAGTTTTAAGGAGCTTATTTTATAGGTTTCCTTTACTTTTTATATAAAGTAGAAATGAATAAATTAAGAGCCACAGAAGAAATCTTATTTGGACTCCTTAGTGGTCAGTGGATTATAATGTCTTGCTTAACAAGTTCACAAGTGTCAACAAATCTTTAAAGAGGGGCTGTTATGATTACCTTATGTAAGCAATATTAGAAAAACTAGTTAAAAGTATAGTCTATCTGAAAACAATCAAACAACAACAAGAAAAGAGAAAATTGAAGAATTAATATGACTCTTGCATATAATCATATGATCATTCTGCTTATATGTTACATCCAGTGTCTGTCTATTTAGATTGTAACTCTTTGGACACTTACTCTATGTGTGTACAATAGGGGTCTTTAGGCTCTGTTAGAATAAAAATACATAATAATTAAAAGTACATACAGACACACTGTAGGTTACACATTAAATTGTCCATTCAGTTCTTGATATGAAAAAGATCTGCATGAGAGCACTACATCTCTCATTAAAGACAGAGTGCCTGGCTCACATGTGCCTTTCAAAGTCTGTCCAGTCGGAAATTACATATGCAAAACCTGCTCCATGACCACCCAAATTTTGGTTCCAGCCTTGAAACTGCCATAACTGCCCCAGATGGGCAAACACTATAAAAGGCACACTTGAGCCCTTATTCTGGCCACCACTGACCCATGGACAACCCTCCCCATGCACATTACTCCAATTAGGCCTAACAGTAATCTGCACAAAACATAGATTTATGCCAAGTCATGGCTAGTATGCACTAAAACATGCATACCAGGCCTCACTACTAAGCCCAACCCCAGCACTTCCTTCTCTGGCAACCTAAAGAGTAACATTTCCATGAATTTGAAGGAGCACCAGACAGTATCTGACTTTCATTTCCCTGCCTGGCCCTATGTATGTGTGCAATCCAAGCTGAAATTTGGCAGTAAGAAAATAACTTTTAATTATTTCATTCTACTGTCAGTAATTAGAGTTTAGTCTTCTTCATCAAAGTATCAGATGTTATGAGTGTCATTTACTAACTGTACATGGAAGGGTCCAACCATACGATTGACAGCACTTTTAGAAAATCCTAGTAGCCACTGTGCCGCACTTGTGGTGAATGCACTTACCCTGGTCATGTACATAGAAAGCATATCCCCACGGCCAGTGAGTCCTAATGACCCAGTTCCCTGAACTCCAGGACCTCTCCTTCTCAGGAACGACTTCCTTCCTTGCTTCCAACATTTGAATGTTTCAGAGGGAATTTAAAAAAATAAGTTAGATGCTCTCAGCCATTCCCCGGTGTGCTGCCATGTAAGGAAATCATGCTGCGTTCTGGGAAGATGAGATAACGCCAGGCGAGTGTTCTCCGGAAATGCAGTAGTGCCTGTGTCCCTTCTCTAGCACCATTCCATGATTCAGCTACATGACTAGTAATAGCTCATGCCATGTGATGTCAGAAGCTGTTCACAACAGAATTTATGGGGCTGGCGATAAAGGCAGCAGCTTCTACGAATCACAACAGTACACCAAATGAAGAAGTGGAACATTACATATTATACGCCTTGTACTCTAAGCTGTTACTTTTAAGGGATGGGTAGGAAGAAAATGTTTCTATAATGAACAGAGTTACAAAGTTATTCCTAAAAATGCAATGATGGGTTCTTATTAGTATCTTATACTTTATGCAAACATAGTAGAATAGCTGATACTGGCAGATATATTTAAAAATACACATGCAAAGCCTTCAGTACATCCATCCAAATCCAGCAGGCTGTGGATACAGGCTGAAATTTTCAAGGAACTAAGGAAGTCAGGCTTGTAAATCTCATTTTCTGTGTAATTTGGGTGCCTAATTCCCTTAAACTCACTTGAAAATGTCCAAAACACCAACACAAGAGCTACTTTTTCAAATGAAATGTGAAACTCCAGTTGAGGAATTACATTAGCCCATCTTGTCCTACTGGCCTGGAGCCAAAAGACACAGGAGAATAAAATTATTTTTAAAACATGAACTCTCTGGGATCACTTATATAACAAATGAAAACTCACCTAACTACATATAGTCTGTTGCTCTGAATAGCAAAAGAGAATGTGCTTTCATGACAAATTGTGTTATGGAGAGAGAGAAAAGATACATTTCAAGTCTAATATTTGTCACTCACCGTTCCTACTAATGGGTAGATGAACCCAGCTCCGATGCTGGCCCGCACATCACTAATAGGCAGAATGAAGCCAGTTGGAACACCTTTCCTCTCAGGCTGGTGGGAGAGGGACAGGTGAGTTTTTGCCATACAAATTGGAAGATTTCCAAAACCCTGACAGAAGACAAAGAAGGAAGAAATATTATTTGTAAGGTTATTCACAGATTAAAAGAGTCACAGATTCCAAGGCAAGAAGGGACCACTGTGATCATCTAGTCTGCCCTCCTGTCTAACTCAGGCCACAGAACTTCCCCAAAATAATTCCTGTTTGAACCAGAGCCTATCTTTTAGGAAAACATCTAATTCTGATTTTTAAAGTTGCAAATGAAGTCCCTAACCTGCAACATCTTACCTGTTACACATCTTCTTAATTATCTGTTTTAAGATTAAATAAAGGCACACAGTTTTCAAACATGTAGACACACTCACGATATTTAAAAGAGATGCTTGATAGAGAAAAGGCTTCCTTTCACCAGAATGACTAAAAAGCCGTGGTACAAATAGCACCTATTATATGCAATCTAGGAGTAACTGATCCCTTAGCAGGAAAGCGATTGCGATTAACCACACGGAAGAAAGTTTGTACAAATGAAATTTATCTTGAAAAAAACATTATTGATACATGTGCTGTGGCTTATACACCAGCTTGAAAAATCAACAAACAAATGTTGAGTGTATTAGATAAGAAAAAAGTTGAATTTATTATATTCTGTCAAATATAAAATCAAACCTGTCCAATTTTTGGCCCAATTTTGCACTTTGTGTAGATATTTACACTTGTGCAAAGTGAGTCTTAAGGAAATGTCTACATGGTGACGGCAAAGCATAACAGAGGGCTGTGATTTGTAAAGTATTCTGACATATAGTACCTATCTTTAAAATGGGAAACAAGGAAGACCTGGGGAATTATAGACCAGTACTCTAATTTCAATACGTGAAAAGATACTGGAGCAAATTATTAAACAATCAATTTGTAAGCATCTGGAGGATCATACGGTTATAAGGAAAAGTTAGCATGGATTTGTCAAGAACAAATCATCCCAAACCAACTTCATCTCCTTCTTTGAAAAGATTACTGACCTAGCGAATAAGGGGAAAGACTAGACCTTGATTTTAGTAAGGATTTTCACACAGTTCCGCAAGACATTCTCATAAGTTAACTAGGGAAATGTGCTCTAGATGAAATTGCTATAAGATGGGTGTACAACTGGTTTAAAGACTGTACTAAAAGAGTAGTTAATCAAAGGTTTTCTATCAAACTGGGAGGACATATCTAGTTGGGTCCTATGGGGGTCAGTCCTAGATCCAGTACTATTGAACTATTCAGTACTATTTTCATTAATGACTTGGATAACGGAATAGAGAGTATGCTTATAAAATTTTCAGATGACACCAAGTTGGGAGGGATTGCAAGCACTTTGGAAGACAGGTTTAAAATTCAAAATGACTGTGACAAATTGCAGAATTGGTATGAATTCAAGAGATAAACTTCAATAAAGACAAATGCAAAATACTTCATTTAGGGAAGGGAAAATCTAATGTACAACTACAAAATGGGGAATAACTGTTTAGGCGGTAGTACTGTTGAAAAGGATCTGGGGGAGATAGTGGACCACAAACTGAATGAGAGTCATCAATATGATACAGCTGCAAAAAAGGCTAGTATGATTCCAAGATGTATTAACAGGAATGTTGTATGTAAGATGCAGGAGGTAACTGTCCCGCTCTACTCGGCACTGGTGAGGCCCCAGCTGGAGTACTGTGTCCATTCTGGGCATCACAATTTAGGAAGGATGTGGACAAATTGTGAAGAGTCCAGGAGGGCAGCAACAAAAATGGTAAAAGGTTTACAAAACCTGACCTATTAGGAAAAACAGGAAAATACTTAGTCTTGAGAAAAGAAGACCGAGGGGAAACCTGATAACATTGTTCCAATAATGTAAGGGCTGTTCTAAAGAGGATGGTGATCAATTGTTCTCCATGTACACTACAGATAGGACAAGAAGTAATGCGCTTAATCTGCAGTATGGGAGATATAGGTTAGATATTAGGAAAAAAAATTCTAACTTTCAGGGTAGTTAAGATCTGGAACATGCTTCCAAGGGAGGTCATGGAGTTCCCATCATAGGAAGCATTTAAAAACGAGTTGACAAACACCTCTTGAGGATGGTCTAGGTTTACTTGATCCTGCCGCAGCGCAGGTCTGGACTTGATGACTTTTGGAGGTCCCTTCCAGCCCCACATTTCTATGATTCTATGTTGTGCTCTATCTTCCCCTTGTAGACCCTGATGGTTCGCAGGTACTTAGTTCATGTTAACACACAGTCCTCTTTGAAACAATTAACATCAATTACATTAGTGGACTTTACAAATCACAACCCTTTAATGCACTTTGCCATGTAGACAAGCCCTAAAATGGTCCATACTGATGTGATAATATTTTACAATCATTTTGTACTCCATTTGCACAAGTATAAGCTGCAAGGCTGTGGAGAATCAAGTCCAGTGTGTTCCTGATTGTATGCTTTGATGTCACTTTTACCTGTTTGCTGTAACGACTGATTTGAGATTGAGCTTCAGGAGACAATTCTATATCCTCAGCTCCATAAACCTTCTGAGCAATGATTCTTATTTTTTCAATAATAGGAAGCTGTAGAAACAAAGAAGAGCACAAAAATATTAATAGAGGTCATTGAGGGACTAAGATACTCTGTACTGAGGGTTTGTCCAAGTCTCTCAGTCAGATTCAGTCCAGAGGTAGGCAGGTTTCCTCTGGGCCTTTGTTATAGAAAAAGCATTATATTGGAGGAGTACATGGGGTGGAAAATGGTTTTGTGGGGATGGAAGCTATAGATGGTTTGTGCAGCCCCCAAACCAGGCAGTAATAGCCAGGCACAGGGCACAGCCAGAATGGCTGGGGCGATGCACTGATTCCCCTTCCCTCTGGCAGAAATCCAAAAATAGTGGGGATTGCAACATCATCTGCCCTTCCTCAGAAGGCATCTTGGGGTGCAAGGGATTTTCATAAACAAAAAAGTATAAATTTACTTTTCATTTGCAGGCCTACAAGAAAGGAGGACATTCTTGGCTTAGTTTTAAGCAGCAGCAATTGACATAGGACATGAGCCAAAAAGCTGCAGTGGGTAACAGTGATCACTACCAGGGTTGACTCTGTGTGTGTGTGGGGGGGGAAGGAGTGGGAGAGGAAACAATTGCACCAGGGCCCCAAGCTCAGGGGGCCTCCAAAATGTCTGTGTAAAAGTTAAATTGTAGAGGTCAGGGCCCCAGAAAACAATGTACTGAGGCCCTCAAATTTCTCTCAACAGACCTGATCACTACACAGTTGTGTTTGCTATGATGATTAACAAAAACTACAGTTAATGTGACAGGGTATCGAGTGGTAGTGAATGCCTGCTCCTCAGGAGTAAAAGAAACTTTATAGCAGGGTACCATATAGGGGTCAATATTGCATTGACCAAAATTCTTCCTCATTCTCTCCTTCCCTGCTCTCCCCCCCCGACTCTGTAAGCACCTATGTTGTAAAGCACTTTGAGATCTTTGGAGGAAAGATGTTATAGAAGTACAAAGCATTCTAGAGTTATATTTTAAAATCATGTATAACTTGATAAGTGTCCAATTTTAAAAGTTTTACCATTAGGATTCCAGACCTCTTTTAAAGTAAGTACATTAGGAGATGAAAACAGTACTTCAAAAAACTGTAAAGAAAGACCTGATAATCTCTCATTTCCCCTGAGCTTTTAAAGCAGAAATATTTATTTTGACACTCAGAGTCAAGAAACTGGTTCGTGAATATTAGCACACAGAGCATGTGTGCACCAACTTTTGTTTATAAGAGTTCCACAGTATCCCTTTAAAGATATCCTTATTACACAGAGCTATATCAACTGAACACAAGTGTTTGTGTCAGCCAGACTCTTTTTGTTGCCCCTATTACTTCTGATTTTATGATTTATTTTTGAAAGAGAAAATTCCAAAGCAGACCGACTGCACATTAATGAGATCTCCAGTACTAGAGGCATAGCAAGAACAAAAAGCTGGCTTGCCACCCATTAGAATAAACTAAATCACAATACAAATAAGGCTTCTAAGTCTTGTCCCAAACCCTTCCTCCACAAAAGTCTGGTAAAATGGGGTCTAATGAAAACTATGCCCCTGGCTATCTTTTGAACATGAGGACTGCATGGCTACTGCCATTTAACTGCATGGGATTATGTAACATTCTTGACTCTAGGCTTTCTAACAGATTCCAACCCATGCAATAAAATCTAATGAAGGTCGGAGATAATGGATCATAAATATCCTGGATGCAATTCCTGGCAACACTAAACTGAGTGGAATACTTCAGCTGGCATAGATAGCCATCATGAGACTAAACCTCTCCCATGACCATTATTATGATACTTTCATGTCAGCTGCAGTTGTAAATACAGAGGAAAAAATGCAAAACATCTCTGTTAACTTGTCTTTTGGGTGCTGCCTGAATGCAGCCAAGTACTCAAAGCCACAGCACAAGAAAACATTCCACTGTCTACTGTCAATAAGCTGACTGGCAGAGAACAGAAAGCCTCCTGTTGCCTCTTTGTCTGGTTTTTAACTTTTTTTTTTTTTTTTTTTTTTTTAAGAAGCAGAATGTGTTAAAGTCGCAATGAAGTGTTCAAAAGGCAGAGCTGTTCATTTAGAGTCAAACTGTATTTGCTTCACAATACTGCAGACTATTTTTCCAGAAACAGGCCACTCCAAGACAATTCTTGTACTTATTCCTCCGGTGGCCGTATTTATAATTTCCAAACCAAGGGCCCATTCCTGCCAGGTGCTGGCTACCACCAGCTCTGATTACTTGAATCAGGATAGAGGGTGTCCTGCTGCTCCCAGAAGTTGCTCAAAAACTTGCAGGATTGAGTTCAAGCCTATCAATGGAGTTGTATGAGAGTACCAGTATATGGTACTGCTTTACAAGAATTTAGAATACTTCTCAAGCTCCTATTTAAACTACATTTGGGTAATGATAATGCCCCAAAATTTTTGAATGTTTGGCCAGGCAGAAACATGACTTTGTAAGAGTATGTGCGAATGCAGTTTTCAAAGGTGGAAGAGGCAGTCACAAGAGTAGGACGCGTACGCACCAATGGGGAGGCTAGTGGCTAAAGCCTTGCATATATGCCTGAGCCTATTTTCAGAATTGCATGGAACTTAGGTCAAACTGGATGTGCACCAGCTAAGTATTGTCTTGGCAGGAGCAAGCCAGGAGCTCTCTAATCCAAGGGTTCTCAACTTCTCTCTTTCTGAGGCCCCCACAACATGCTATAAAAACTCCACAGCCCACCTGTGCCACAATAACTGTCTTTCTGCTTATAAACGCTAGGGCCAGTGTTAAGGGGTAGCAAGCAGGGCAACTGCCTGGGGTCTCAGGCCACCGGGGCTCCCATGAAGCTACATTGCTCAGGGTTTGGCTTCAGTTGCAGGTGGCAGGGCTCTGGGCCTGGGCTTGGGCTTCAACTCTATGCAGCTGGGCTTCGGCTTTCTGCGCTGGGCCTCAGCGAGTCTAATGGTGGCCCTGCTTGGTGGCCCTCCAGACACCTGCTCACGACCCTTCAGGGGGCCTTGGACCCCTGGTTGAGAATCACTGCTCTAATCAGCCCTGAGCTTGCTCTCACACACACTTCACTTGAGTTTGAGGGGCACTGTACTGTGTGCGGGATTCCCCTGTTTATCTGAAACTAACCTTTTCAAAAGGTATTATATTTTTTAGAGTCCATGGCTATCCCTATTTAATATCAGTTCAGAGTTTGGAACTAAAAATTTTTCTCCATGACTCAGACTAAGTAAAACATCTAAACAATTCAATGTAATTTCATGAACTATCTTCTAAATAGAAACCACAAGGTACAGTATGTGATGCATACCCTCAATTCAATTAAAACAACAAAAAAAGGATTTATCAAGATCGAGGCTCTACTAATTGAAGTCAGTTTTTACCTATTTACCACAGCAGTAAGCAGGATGTCTACATAACATTTATGAACAATTCATGATTCTTCTTGCGTTTGCCTTTTAAGAAAGCTTATTGTCCCTACTTTCTCAATAAAGTTATCAAACGCTTTGCTACCAAAATCCTAAAACCCTAATACGGTCATTGAGTAACATCTCCAACTACCAGGTCACTCAAAGAAACAAGAACAGCCTAAACATCTTTTTCATAACAAAGGTTTTATGTTATGAATTTTACCAGTTAGAATTAACTAAAACTCCTCAAACAAAAATGTTAAAGTGTCTTGTTTCTATTCCATACTGAAATGATTCCACAAATCCAATGAGATAGAAATTTCTAAGTGGAGAGGACAAGTCAGAAGAATCTGTATTCATACAAATCCCAAGTTGCAAGAACACAAATATTCTAGTAATGTTGAAAAAGTGGCCACCAAATCAGAGAAAGGATATTGAATGTGCATTGTTAAGAGAATTCTAAGAGACAAACAGCATATTAAACAGCAATAATGTGCAATAATAGTCAGAGATGCCATGGCAATTCAATAGAAGTTGAGAGCATTCAGCATATTGCAGTATAGGAACCAATAACTTCAATGATGTTAACAACAACAACAACATTCGTAGGGCTAGATCCTGTAACTGATTGGCACAGGGATCCACATTTGCAGATCCAGTTGCAGGATCTGGCCCATACTTTGCACTTCTATGGTTCCCAATTTAGCAAAGCACGCTTAACTTTAAGTCAATGAGACTTAAGCATTTGCTGACTCAGGGCCACAGGGTAAAATTTTGAGAAGTGCCTAAATAACGTAGGCTTCTGAGCCCCATTTGCAAAAGGGATTTAGACCAGATTTTTAAACATATTTAGGTGCTTAAGATAGGTGCCTATTGGGATTCCAAAAGCACCGAGGTGCTTTACCCCATTGAAATTAGTAAGAATCTCACTAGGTGCCTATCTGCATCTTTAGACCTCTAGAAATTTGACAATTAGGAGCCTAAAAGACTTAATCACAATGAGAATTCGACTGCTAAGTCACTTACTCTTTTTTTTTTTTTTTTAAATAATGTTATCCATAGTATCTTACATCGGATGTTGGCAACACATCTCACAAACAGCTTCACAATGCTCCTGCTATCTACGTAAGTACTGTATTAACTCCATTTTACAAACAATTAAAAATGAAAATTAAAAAACAAAATCATCCCTCCTCCCTCCCCCCGCTTTATATAAGGTTGTGGATGTTTTTACATAAACTGAATAAATTTAAACAGCTGATAAAAAAGACATTTCCAGCAACCACCTCATTAATTTTGGTAGTTTTGGTGCGTCTTTAAATGCAGTATAAATTAAAGATATTGGAGAACTAATTTCAGATAAGCTCCTTCTGCAAAATATAGCATGAAACAGTCAATGTATATTTATACTGAACATGACATGAAATGCAGTAGGGTCACATTACATGCATACCTGCTGGTGCCATTCTGGGGAAACAACAGACCCTCACAGCTTTGTTAGAAAGCATATATATTGCCGGAAAGTGACACATTTAGAGACACCTGCGGTACATGCTTCAACCCATAAGAATGCAGAATGTGGAAACAAATTAATTCAAACAGGAAGTCACAAACACCATGAATATG